TTTAGTAGAATAAACATGTTACTTTGGTGTTTTATGCTTTAGGAAATATATTTTACATCCAGATAGTTCTTTAAAAAACTTCCCTAAAACCTAGTGTACTCTCTAAGCAGAGCTTAAAAATGAGGCCATTGAGGTTTCTCACAAAACTCTCAATGCAGAGGCAGGAACAGAGCTCTCTTATTATGGCTTCTGCTCCAACTCTCTTCTTTTTTTTTTTTTTTAAGATTTTTATTTATTTATTTATACAAGCACTGGGGTATAGTCAGAAGCGCGGAGGGTGAGAGAATTCACCAGAGCCAGAGTGGAGAGCAGAACAGGCAAACTGACGTAGTACACTGCTGAGGAGAGCAGCGGGTCTGTGCGCCATGCGGGACCCTTGCCCAGCGGCCAGGGATCAAAACGGTGCTGCAGAGACTGCGGGCAGCTTCACAGCCCAGTGCTCAACCACTGCGCCACCGGGGAGGCCCATCCAACTCTCTTCTTTAAGGCAAAGGAAGGAAATGAAAGCAACTTGGTGATTATCACTCCCTCTTCCCAGACTTAGTACATGTTTTTCAAATGTTAGTGTATATAATTGTTTCTCAAAGTGTGGTTCCCAGTATGCCAAGGTTGGAATCATCACTAGTTCTTGTTTAAAAGAAAGATAATTTCAGTTAAGCCTGCAGCTCCTGAAAGAGAATTTGGGGGCCAAGTTACTATTATGAAAACTGTGCTTTAATGAGCTTTCCAAGTGATTTCCATGTTTACTAAAATCCAAGATCCACTTCATGAGGGTAAGAGGCTTGATTTACACCTGACATCGAAGCTATCCTGTTGCTCATGGGAGCTGTTTGAGAACTGTGAGTTACTCCAAGATTGCTTTGTTTCTCCATCGAATGAACATTTTTCTCAGTATAAGTTTCAATTACTTTCTTGCTAAAATAGCTTACATCTAGCAAAACTATTTGAACAGTTTAAGTAGTCCAGGTTAGCAAGACGGATGGAAGTTCCCCAAACCCTCTCACCTAACATTTGGACCCAGGTGGGTGTTCTCCTTTAAAGGAAACTCTGTGACTCAGGTTGAACACCTGGGACTGTCCTTAGATTTATTCCTCCTGGTGGACTTTCTGGCAGTGGCTAATAGTGACAAAACACCTGTGCTTGTTGTAGAGGCTGCTGCAATTTTTCTTGGCTAAGCAATTTGCTTTAACTATCCACATCTTGATAACCTTCTTATATCAAGTGCTAACTTTGACATCTCCTTTAAACTGCATAAACATTTTAGTGACTACAGAGCACAGCTTTAGAATAACCCAGAGCTAATGGTGGCATGAAGTATAAAGGGTCATCCAGAGGTCTCTGTTGCTTTGTTACATGCTGCCATCTGTAGTATTAGTCCTTGACCTTCAAGATCACATTCTAGTTCCTGGAGTAGTAGGTTAAATGAAAAATCTTCATAAGCTATAATGTGCCAGAAAAATATGATATGATATTATTAGCATAATTGCCAAAAGAAGTGATATCAAATAATGTACTCTCATTTAACTTTGTTCAGAGGAGCAAAAGTAAGGTATGTTCAAGAAAAAAATTCCTAAGATACTCAATTTCATAGTTTTGAAATATTATCAACACACACAATTTCCCCTGTTTTTAAAATAATTTCTATGGTCTCTTTTTACAAAAATGATTTCTACTGGCTATATTTCCATTGTTATGGATACATTCTTGGGTATTAACTCAAACCTTTGATCATGAACTGGGATGAAAAAGGGGCCATATATGTAAGAAATGCTCAGGGCTACCTGAACCTAATAGGTGTTTACAGCTTTGGCAAAATTACATAGGAAAATAAAGGAAACTTTGGTGTGATTTGGGCCAAGTGTTACAACCTCCTTCAATTCCTCTTCTGTAAGATCATAGAATTGTGCTAAATGCCCTTTAATGTCATTACCAATGAAACCTATTGGACGAGGGTGAGAAAAGAGAAAGAGGTTATAAAAACAGATGAGAGAATAGGAGGAAGGAGCAAAAGGAGGGAGGAAGCAGAGGGGGGATAGGCAAATGTGTGGTAGAGAGACCATCCCACCTATTACCTGGGGTGTGATTCAGTGATACTGAGCAAGGAAATACCTCATCTGATATTCAGAGGTATTAAATAAACAAGTAACTAAATAAATCACAAAAATCATAACTAGTTTTCTTGCAGTCAAAGTGATTTAATATCCATTTGGCCCTCAGTTAGCTTCATGAATTATTCATGTATCCCTTTGGGTACTACCTGTAGTTGATCGAGTTATATTGCATCACTGATACAGGCAGTGTCATGCTTGGCTTGTAGAAGCCAGTAAATTGAAGGCAGTTTATGGGAAGAATGCTAAAGGTGGCTGTGGTAAATCTAAAAAGTTACTTCAGTTCATTTAAAAAGCTTCTGAAATAAAAATAATGACTCCGTGTCAGTGGTAGGGCACTTATCCTATTCAGTTTCTTTGTTTGCTAATAACTACGAAAGTTAACTCTCACCTTCAGAGTCATAAAAGTTTACACCTAATAGCAATACATGGACTGTCTCTCTGCCAAATGAAAATTCCTTGACTATGTTTTATTTTGTTGACTCAACCATCTAAATATTATATTAGAGGGTAAATGAATATGGATATTCAACAAGATTTTAGGAGAAATCAATATGTATCTATTTACTAGTTGAGTTTAATTTTTAGAAGGAAATATATGTGCATTGAAAAGGCTAAAATTTAGATTTATTTGTGTGCTTCAAGGAGTAGTTGGAAATTCAGTCGGCCAGATACATCACTGGAGGGAGCTCTTACTTCATGACAAAGCAGGAAATGAGCTCTTTCTTTATTCTTAGATTTCACTTAGAGCCAAAGACCACCCCCCCCCAGATAAAAATCAGTAATAAATACAAGAAGCGTATGGTAAGAAAATGTGCTTTGGGGGCATCATATGCCACATTTGCTTACAAATAAAGGCAGGATGACTATTCAGAAACAGCAAAATTTAAACAAGTCCAAAATACAAGATTATATACAGTGAGAGCCACAACGTACATTTTGTATGGAAAAGTACCTTGACAGCTATGCTTTATAAATGTCCCCCCCCCATGATAACATTGTGAGCCCACAATGATCACCACTCTCAAATGCTAATGATAATCTGGCTCTGGTGTTCACAGAATTGGCACAAGTCCTGAAGTGCTCCTTAGTAGGGAATGGAGAGTGCTCTGTAAAGAGATGCAGTGAGTTCTTGGGTCCATTCTTAGCAACACTGCAATGGTACCTCTATTGGACCAGCTTTGGAAAGGATGCTTGGCTTTTTTTTTTATTTTTATATTCCCCATACAATTGCAACCCCCTGATTTTGACCCCAATCCCTCCTTTCCGGGCCCCCCCCCCCCCAAGTGTGTGTCTGGTTCATAGTTGTTTGTTGATTTTGATTTTTTTCTTTCTTACAGTTATTCTTTTTCCTGGTCCCTTATTTAGGTTTTCTAGATTCCTGTTATGAGTGAGACCATGCGCTATTTTTCTTTTTCTTTCTGGCTTATTTTTCAGAGACTGAGTGGTGTGAGTGACAGCATGCAGGACCAAGAACCAGAATTCCTAGATTTTTGTCATGGTAGAATGCCTAAACATATGTGAGCTCTTAGGCTTTCTTGTCTTCATATTTCTGGTGAAATAGGAATGGTAAAGCATTGAACTAGATTATTTCAAAAGTCATGATCCTTCAAGTTAAAACTATTTACTTGCTTTTGTAGTTCTGACTGTGGTATACATTCATTGGGAATGATATTTGGAGTCACATTAGCTGTTTTTAAGGCCTCCCACCCCAAATGTTGTGTCTAATTTGAAAGCTCATAAAACATTTTCTGAGAGATTTCCTTTCCTTCCTCCCCATACATACTTCCTCCCTCTCTTCCCTTTACTTGTCTGGTTCTTGAAAGTTAGCTCTAGATATGAAGCAAATCTAGCGGAGAAAACTGAAAAATGACACTCTAGGAGGCTGAATTTCTTTAAGATTGGACCAAGCTTTAGGCAGGCCAGTGAGTAGGGTCTTCTGGTTGAAATAAGACATTACCTTGATGCAGGTTCATAATTTGTGGGGGCCAGTGCTGAATGAAAGTACATTAACATTTAAATTTTAAAATTTGAATTTTAAGAGTTTTAAGCCAAACACAGGGCATAGGACCCTGCGTGATGGCACAGGTCACTTGCCCATGGATCCAGTCCTACCCGGAGCTGTGGGGATCCTGGATTCAATCTAATAGACATACAGGACTGGGTTTGGCTCGAAAGGTCAGACCCATGGGAAAATAATACAAATAAAATATTTTGAAACAAAAACCAAGCCACTCCTGCTAGTTTCTCTTTTTAAAAGGTGAGAAAGTGTTTCAGTCAAGAAGCTGTGATTGTATTTGGGCCAAATCCTTAGAAGGATAATTAGTTAAATAGTTTTGGAAGGAGCACTGTGGAAAGAGAGACGTTGAAATCATACGATGATTTTGTTTATACCAATTAAAAAATTTCAGTCTGAGAAGATATAATGATTTCTTCCAAATAGTTTCAAGAAATTGGAAAGCCAGCTGGAGATATGAACAGTGGCTCAAAGACTGACAAAAAATATCCTGGAGAGGCTGGCAAAGCATGGGGAAGAGATGCTGTGAAAAGACTGGAGGCATTTAGTTTACCTCTACTGAACACAGTCTTAAAATAATTAAAAAATAAAGTATGCAATAGTTTGTATAATTTCTTTGGTTTTTTCTAATATATTATTTTTTCTCTGATTTTATTATTTTTTGGGGGGTGGGGGTGGAAATTAGATTCACAATAAATACATTCAATTGTAACCTTCCGGGGATATTTTGTGGTTTCAAAACAACTTCAAGGCTATTGTTCCCCTTCAATAATAGCCATTATTCTGCATTGATTGACTTTATGACAGTGTTCCTTGGTGTTCACTTTTATTTGAGCTCAAAGCTCCAAGTAAATTGTGTTACTATTTCAGGGAGCATTTTGTGATTTGCACTGGCTGAGATCTGGAACAAGACAAAGCACAGCTGTGAATTTGCTTTCTCTTCTCTATACAACATGACTTGCTGGCAGCCTGACTGCTTCACAGATGAACTGTCAACCCCTCTGGGAGCCTGTCTTAGAAGACTTTTCTCCAACCAATTGCAAGCAGGTGAGTTTGCATTAGTGCCTCTGTGCCCTTCTTTCCTCCCCAGGCTCTGCTCCTTACCTCCCCTGGATGGAATCTTACACTTAAGAACTTTCAAGTTCTCTCTTGTCCTACAGCAGTACTTTTTCTTGTGAATTAAACAAGTAGTCAACATGCCGAACTGTCTTGTTAGTTGGACTGTTGGTGGATGACAATACACATACATAACTGTCCTTGTGCTTGATTTTCCTTCAAGTCTGATGTTATCAGAAAATTTAAACCAAACAAGTATCTGAAAAGCAGAGTTTATATCATGGGGAGGACCAGAAGGAGAGTTGACTTGGATAAAAAGTGGTATATTGTGACCTTAAAATAACAAAGTTGCTTACTTTCTAAAGTAAAGGTGATCTTATTTCTTAGATAATGTATCTTATCCCTTTGACCACAAGGGATTGTCTGACCAAGGATAATTAGAAGTTAAAATTTTAGAGATCTGAAGGCAGACGCTAGATGGTATTTGCAGTCAATTCACAATAAAAGTAGATGGAACATAAACATTCAAATAGCACAGTTCGGAGCCTCCCTGATGGCACAGGCAGTTGAGCGCTGCACTGTGAAGCTGTCTGCAGCCTCTGCAGTGCGGGTTCAATACTGGCCAGCCAGTGAGAATCCCACATGGTGCTACAGACCTCTCCTGTCTTGCCTGCTGCTCTCCTCACAGTGTATTTCAGGCAGTCTGCCTGTTCTGTTCCCCACTCTGTCTCTGGTGAATGCTCTCACCCTCCTGCACATCTGGCCTGTACTCCAGTTCTTGTATAAATAAATAAATCTTTTTTTAAAAAACAAATAGCACAGTTCACATCACTAATGCTCTTGGGATAAATTTAAAATGAAGCTGTTTATGCTGAAGTCCATTAGTTGTTTCTTTGTAAACTCTCTTGGACAGGACCTCTTTTGTCTGCTTTTCCTGATTGTGCTAAAGTTTGTGATGTTATGACAAGCTTCCAAAGAACACTATGGAATGCAGTCTGTAAAAGTACTTTTCTCCTAGAATTTTAGAATCAAAAATGACCCTACAGAAAAAACATGGCATTTACAGTTCAACATAATGATGCAGAGAATAAAGCCTGCCATGAGGTAGTTTCAATCATCACACTATCATTGCAATTTTTAGAAGTCATTAATTGTAGAATTAAAACACTTTTTACCAAGATACAAACTATATTTTCATTTATGTAAATGCTGCCTCCACCCCTGAAGGTGCAGCATTCATGACCAAAGGAGCAGTTTCTCTGCTCCTGAGGAATTGTCCAAAAGGTCATTTTTGGTTCCAGAACCTTGCAGAAGGAGAACCAGAGGATTTAAGCCACTGCCCCATAGTCAGCTTTGTCATAGCTGATTTCCTAGAGATTACTGACATCCTTTTCTTCTGTCCACTTGAAGGTACCATACTTCTTGAGCGCCCCACCCACCCACTTTTTTTCTTGCTCTCTCACTCTGTGCGTGTGTGTGTGTGTGTGTGTGTGTGTGTGTGTGTTGGAGAAGGAGGTGTTTAGTTGACATGGGGAGAAGAACAACTTTCACACCATGCTATATTTCCTGTGGTCATCCCACACCATCCTTCAGCTGATTTTCTGGGATCATCAACTTTGCTGTTCTGTGGCATAGGATTAGACAGGTTAAAGGAGTTTTAATGTCAAGGATGGAACCCCTGCATTGCAAAAATAGGGTCTATTCAACTGTAAAAGTATCTAAGTTTGTTGACTGTGACCATCTTTTTATGATAAATTTTAACTTCTTTAGGTCTCTGTTTTTTACCTTAAAGTATGGAGTTTAGATTATATCATTTTTTGGTCTTAAAACTAGTCTTATAGCTATATCTGCCATCTAGTGGGCTAAAGAAAGCCATTCAAGGGCAGAGAGCCAGAGGGATGTGACAAAAAATGCAGGCTACTTAATAGTGAGCAGGGTTGTGCTGGTCACAACCACCGTGAATATGTGGTAGCTCATTTAAAATATAGTTGTTGTCCTGCAGTCAATTAGAAGGAAGGAGCAAATCTTAAAACGGGAAGAGTTTCTTCAAGTCATTCCTACTCAGTCAGTGTCTTAGATTTTCTATATTGGAAATGCTGAGGAAAGCCATCTTATTGAAATGGAGGGAGGGGGAGTATTACCTTGAAGCTACACTTGCTGTGTATACTTTTCCTCCTCCTCTTCTTCCCCCTTTTTCCTTTGGTTCTATGTTTATTTGGAAGTGCTTTGGGACTAGATCTGAAGGATTAAATAAAATGTCAGCAGAACCTTCCTCCTTCTCCTGGCACCCCCTGGGCATCCCAAACTGCAGCAATGCAACGCTCTCTCTTTGTTCGTACTTTAACACTGACATGATCATTGTATTTCTGTGTGGCTCAAAGGCTTTGTGAAAATAAGCATGCCATTTTTTCCCTAGCAGAAACAAAACTAGAATATAAGCTTCAAGAAGGCAGAGAGCTTGTCTGTTCTTTGATGTACTTTGAATTCCTAGACCAGTGGAGGGTCCATAGTAAGAACTGAATAATGTATATATCCAGCAACAAATTAGTTAAAGCAATCACTTACACTTTCTAATACTGTGTAGAAATTCTCCAATAAGCTATTTTGCAATCATTAGGATGATGCATACTATTATTTACTGTCATAGTAAAATGCTAGTGATATAGTGAAAGATAAGCAAACTTCCTATAAATAAATTATATCTATATTTGAAAATTACTTTTGCAAAACACATCTATTATTAGAATATTATATACTTGCAGATATAAATGCAAAGTCTTTGATTTGGAGGTAAATGAAGCAGGTGATAATATTCAGATTACTTGAATGTAACCAGCAGAGTTCAAAATGAATCAATAGAGGTGATTATTGAAAAAATAGGAGTATTGAATCTCAGGAATAAGCATTAATTATATTAATATTAATTAAAAGTATTATAATTGAGTATAAAAAGTGAGTCACTGCAATGGTTTGTGCTAAAGTTTATCTGCTCTCTTGATCATGGAGTATTATACCAGCACAAATGAGCACTTTATGAACGCTCATTCAGTGAACTGCTGATTTTCTGGGTTAAGTGGAAAACAGTGGTACAGATACTCAAAAACAGTGGCAACAGGAATGATAGCAGCAGGGCGCTGGACCCATACTTTGCCTGGTATTGGACATACACTCAAAAGTTTCTCACCCTTTCATACCATTTGAAAATTTGCTCTGGTGCTTATGTAATTTTTATTTGTAAACTCATTTAAATTATTTTGCCTTAAATATTTTTTTGATAGTAAGGCTTTTCTATCCTGCAAACTTGAGCTATCAGGAGATGAAGTAAAACCCTAATTCTACCTCACCCTCCAGCACCATCACTAGCTAATAGAGTTTTACGAAAAGGATATATCTCCTCATCGCTGTATTGAATTTTTAGAATTGCTTCCTCAGTGCAGTTGCAAGCCTTTGAAAAGTTCTGTTTGTGGAGTTGGTGATTGGGTAACATATTTTGAGTGAACTTGTAAAGAGTCCATGAATAAAAAGAGGGGAAAAGAAGAAAAAGATATAGATTGAATCTAAAGATGTTAAAATGCAATTTTAGCTTTTTCTCTGATAACAGGCTTCTGCCTTCGATTTCTTTCTACATTTGAATGAGGTACATGGAAGACTGAACTACTTTTAAGAAAAGCCTTCCATGTGATTGTTTCTTTCTTCTTCATTTCTCCCTTCCTTTTTAATAAATAAATTAATATAGGATTCTTTTCCAAATGTGGATCTCTTGAAGTAAATACTGCCTAACACTTTTTTGCTTATGGTGCCTGCAGTCTATGCTTCCTATTGGAAAAGATGAAATTTGTACTAGTTCTTCTTTCTTTTTTTGCAGCTTCATTTGCATAAATGTGCAATTTATGTAGGGGGTGATGTACTGTGTTGAGAAATTTGGAGACAGCTGCCAGAGCCATCTTGCAGAGAAGCTGTGCTCAACCTGAAATTTAATTTAAATATTTCATTTCATTACCATAGATTGCAACATTGGTAGTAAACTCGTCTTTGGAATCAGCACTAATCCAATTTGGGAAAATTCAATTGCCCTGTCGCTCTTAGTTTGCAAATTTTGTGACTGGAAGCAGGGAACTCTAAACTTTGCAGCAGAGATGGCCTGAAGGAACAGTTGACTTCTTACATAGAAGAATCCTCTTCCCCAGAATTCAGATGATAGATTTCACCTAAGTTAACTAAAGAATTTTGTTTATTAATGTTATCCTACCACATCACCAGACATCAGTTCATGTGACTGACACCTTTCACTTACTGCAAATCTTTTTTAGAAATTTTTTTAAAATCAGCCATTTTTGTTAAGGTCAGTGACTGCAGTTAGACTACTGACTTAGCCTCGTGTTTTACTGGTGTTAATATCATTCAAACCAATGGGAGATACTAGTGAGTAATGTTTACATTGTTACCCCCTCAAAAAGACCCCTCTTCCTTAATAAAGATTATGAAAACTTTTCTATCAACGTATTATTTTCAGAAATAGATGTATTATTATTCGCTAAGATTGGAGGCACTATTAGAATCTTGGGTATGTTAAGATTCTGCAAACATAACTATGATTACTCTGTGGTAAAATCATTGTTGCTATGATTGTAATTAATAGCTTAGGGCTCTGGGAGGACAGTGTGGGTTTTCAAATGCCCAGAATCATCTTGGTTTAGATACAGATTTCAGCAAATGCTTTTTGGAAATTCTTTATCCTAAAAGAGTAATTCTAATCCAAGAAAAAGGACTTAATGTTGACAAGTCATAGTATTTTCCAGACAATGTTGATGTTATCTTATTTGGTCTTTGTGTCTAGATGCTTGTAGTTCAAGGACTTCATTAAAGGTACACCATATAGTCCATCAGTGATATAAATGCATGCACACACATACACACATGCTTACAGCCCTGCTCATCCTTACATATAAACACAGTGGAAATGACATGTTTTTTGGGTAAAAATGTTTTTT